AAAATACCCGAAAGATTTTCTGATTACGTCTTGTTCCAGTCAAAACTTTCACATAGTGTTCCAACTACATATCGTGAGGCGATGGCAAGTGATGAAAAAGGACTTTGGCTGAAAGCGATGCAAAAGGAGATGGAAGCCCTGTCTAGCTACAACGTGTGGGATCTAGTGGATCTTCCGCAGAATCAGAAGATAGTGAAGTGCAAGTGGGTGTACAGTGTAAAAGGCAATGAGTGCGGTGAAGCAGTTAATCATAAAGCTCGGTTGGTTGCAAAAGGTTTTACGCAAGAATACGGTGTGGATTACAATGAAACATTCTCACCTGTTGTAAACAAAACCACACTAAGGGTATTGTTCGCTCTAGCTGGTAAGTTAGATCTATCAATTAATCACCTAGATATTAATACTGCATTTTTAAATGGAGAGTTAGAGGAAACTATTTACATGGAGCAACCAGAAGGTTTTGTAAATAAGAAATTTCCTAACAAAGTTTGTCTTTTAAAAAGAGCACTTTATGGTCTTAAACAATCCCCTAGGGTATGGCATAATAAAGTTGAGGAAGAGTTAAATGAACTTGGCTATAAGAAATCTAAGTATGACTCTTGTATGTTCACAAAAATCAAAAGTAACTCGTTCAATGTTGTGGCATTACATGTTGATGATTTTTTGGTGTTCTCTAATAATGATTCTGAAAAGTCTAAACTTAAGAAACATCTTATGTCAAAGTTTAGTGTAAAAGACTTAGGTGAAGCAAAATTTTGTCTCGGTTTGAATATTGAGAAATTTGATGGTAAAGTAAAAGTCTCTCAGAAAACTTTTATCCTTGATTTGTTAAAGCGATTCAATATGTGGGATGCAAATCCTGTAAGCACACCAATGGAATGTAATGTTAGGTTAGATCTGAGCAACAAAGAGAAGGAAAACCAATCAAAGCCCGATGTTCCATATCAATCCTTAATTGGCTCATTAATGTATTTGGCTGTAAATACTAGACCTGATATTGCTTATACTATTTCGTACTTGAGTCAATTTAATACTTGTTTTAATCTCTCTCATTGGAAAGCTGCAAAAAGAGTTCTGAGGTACTTGAAAGGTACAATTAACTATGGTTTAACTTATGATGACAGTGCAGACTTAAATGTCATAGGTTATGTAGATGCCGATTGGGCAAACAATGTACTAGATAGAAAGTCCTACGGCGGATTTGTTTTCAAAATGTGTAATGGACCAGTTTCTTGGGAAGCTAAGAAACAACCCTGTGTAACTTTAAGTAGTACTGAAGCAGAATATGTTGCAATTACACAAGCAGCTAAAGAATGTGTGTTTTTAAAAGGACTCTTAAAAGAACTCATTGATTATGATGAAGCTATTGTAGTGTATAATGACAACCAAAGCGCTCAAAGACTAGTGTACAATCCTGTTTTTCATAATCGAACAAAACACATTGATACTAAGTTTCATTTCATTAGGGAAACTGTTAAGTCAAACAAAGTAGTTTTGAAGTATCTGCCTACAGATAAAATGTTAGCAGATGTATTGACTAAAGGTCTTCCTAAAGCTAAACATGTATTTTGCACTAAAGGTATTGCTTTGATTTAATGTGAAGAAGCGTTGGTTGAGATATCACTAGATTAAGGGGGTATGTTGTATTATTATATATATATCACTGTAATCTAGTGATAAAGATGTAGCCTAATGGATTGGTACATTGCTCTGTACATAGGCTAATACGTTTTGTAATGTTGGTAGTCCTGCTGTCGGTTGCTGAATGTAATGATGTAATGTTTATGTACTGTTGACTGGTGTTGTGTCTGGTGTCTCAAATATAATCGGTTTAAATCTTAAAGTGTTTTAATGTTCAACCACAGTTCACACGACTAAAAATGCAAGTCTATAAGCATTGGTAGGATTGCAAAGTACTACACAAACATTATTTCAAGGGTAATAACAGTCACAATTTCCGCTGACTTTAAAAGAGTCAACTAAACTATTATACTAATGGACACACAACTAAATGGAACAACTAATGGAAATTCTCACGATGTACATTCGTTCGATATAAGCATTGAGTATACACGTCAGTACATACGTGTATACCCAATGATATAAGCAACGGTTCTTGCAATTTATTGCTTATTGTTTTTTAGAGTTGTTTTCGGACTTACTCTGTTTTCGGACTTACTCACACTCGTATAAGGTTTTCCACGCTTGTCATTGATAATGTAGCCATGTTGCTTTGAAATGGCGACCATACAAATTTATGCATTTTAAGCCAAGTATGAATGGAGATGAGTGTGGGATGAGTGGAGCGATCTTGTTGTCCTGTTTGTGACTAAGGCCGACATAATCCTTAGACACAGCTGTTAATTAATAGTGCATACAGTCAATTAATAGCAGCAGAGGTCAAGTTTGTCATCAAATTAAAGGTTTTATTCATAAAAATACATTGCCGTAAACCCAAACTCAAACGATGATGATGATAATAACGTTAATGATGTCGCTAAAACGTATCGTTTTAAATTTAACAGCTGAAAATAAGTGGAATAGAAAAGGTTTTGGTTAAATCCATCAAATTGTAATTGGACACTAGTAAATACTAGTGCACTTGTTGCTACCTCCTCCCTTCGGTTTCATGTATTCCTCTCAATCAGTTCAAACCTAGGAGGATTAAACATTAATGTTACCTAATTAATGTTAAATCCTCCTAGATTCAAACCTGAAACACCCAGATCGAAACTCGCCTGTCGTTATTTTACCATCGCCTTTTTTTTAAATATATTTCTCAAAAATGAATGATTATATTGATTTACTTTGGATTTTAAAAATGTTAACGTTTTATTTTGTTAAAGATTTGTGGTGATACGTAAATATTGTGGTGTAGTAAAGTATATTATATTGTAGTTAAGTGTTAAATTTAGAAATTTTAGGGTGAATCGAGATGAATCTTTTTTTATAACATGGGTCTCTCCCACCTTAACATACATACCAAGTTTCATAAACATCGGTTGGAAAAGTGCAAAGATAAATATTTGTATGTAAAAAATACAAAATGGTGGATATCTGGCTAACAAAACGATTTCGGAAAAAATGTTATCCTTGATTTTCTGTTTATTTTGACCCAAGGAATTACTAGGTAAAGTATCTCCCCGCTTATTTTTAACACCCTGTTTATGATGTATTCTTATAAGTGAAAAATGTAAGCTGGTAATACAGAAAGATGTTTTATAAATAATATGAATGTACTGGTGATCTGTATATTCATCTTTTCTTGTTCTTAGAACTGTAAATTAAAAGTCCACTCAGCAGTCGCATCGTACGATGTAGTTCTTTCCATGCGTTGCGAAGTGCTAAATTTGCCGTCCTCTTCAACCCAAGTTATCTATTGAACCACTGATTGTAAAAAATTCAAAAAGATATATTTTACGCATCACACTGTTGGCTACAACTTTGCCACAGACAAAACCTCTCTAACCCAAAAACAAAAAAAAATCTCACATGCTAACTTTTTCATGTTAGAAATCACGATTTAAAACTATTTCACCATACATATCAATTTTTATTAATTAGATCGGTAAATAGTTTAAAGTTCCAACAAAATAGTCATCGAGTAGGACTAACCAAGAAGCTCTGTGCCAATTTTCAAAATTTTAGCACAACTTTAAGTACACCAAAACACGAAATTATTAAAGTCATGCGTCGAGAGGACTATCGTTGTTTTTAACAGATTATACTTTTGACCTTCCGGCACTGTTGACTCAGCGAAACTGAACTTATATTTTATCTTATTTCGTTATATTAAAACTGCTATTGCATTGGGTCAAATTCCCAATAAGTCAATTGCTTTAACATAGACCACGTTTTTAGCTCGGACTGTACTATTTGACTTACTGGGATTTTTGATCTACAGACACTGCAAACATTGTAGTTTTTGACCTTGCGGCACAGGTATAAATTATTTGACCTTCCGGGACTGTTGACTTTCTGCAACGCGTCCATCTAATCGCCATAAACAGTTCCCTCACTCCGGACAGCTCGCCTTGACTACTTCCTTCACCACTTCCTACGTCGCGGACCTGTTTCCCTCTATTCCCATAGCATTTTATGATTGCCTTTATTACTTCCTTCACCACTTCCTATGTCGCGGACCTGTTTCCTTCCCTTCCCCTAGCATTTTACGATTGCAGAATTAATCTAATCGTCATAAACAGATCCCAGACGTCGCACTGCTGCCCTTGACTACAATGTATCGAGTAATCTTCAGTATAATCTTTGCTAAATATAATAATAAGTAATGTTTTTCCTTTTGTACTGTATTTGTAATTAGCTAGTATACTGTGGGTAGTTGGCTTTTATGAACACATGCTACAACTTCAAGTCTTTGGTTTACTTTATCCTTGTTATTTAATTCATCCAACATGGTTACCTAGCAACCCATAAGACTAATGTTAAAAAAATTTAATTTTCAGTTTCATTTTTCTACGGAATTAGATTTTTGTTGGCAGTTCTAACTGTAGCAAACTCGTTTTTAGACCAGAAATAAGCTATTTACAACATTTGAAGAAAATCGTCGGAGCCGTTTTCGAGATATTTCTGCAAGCAAGCAAGCAAGCAAGCAAGCAAGCATACAAGCAAACATTGCTCGTATTAGAGTATAGGATATATATTTTATCATAAAAGTAGAGATAGAATGCACCATACAGAAAAAACATCATAAAAATGTCTTCATCAGCTGATCCATAAGGAAAACAAATCTAACTGTTTGGTTACAAAAGCAAAAGACAAGAATCTATTTTGTAGAGTTCCATTGTATCATCGTGTTAAAATTATATAAATGTTTTGATATAAGTTTAATAAAAAGAAACAAAAAAATGCTCTTTATGAACAAAACAGAGGTTTAAAATAATGATGGTCCTTATAGCTGATCCAAAAAAAGATAATTCACCTTCTATTTGTTCTATGACTTTTTGCAGGAAAATATTTTTATTGAGATTATTTTTTTGCAGGAGCCCCAGCCTGCGGAGAGTTGGAGAGGGGTGAGAAGTGCTACGACCCCTGGACCTGCGTGTCTTCAACATATTACTCAGTCCTTCAAAACTACCGGGGCGGAGGACTGCTTGTATCTCAATGTCTTCACTCCTGTTGTAAGTTGTTAGTTGTACAGATCAACAAGATATATTTGAAACAATACTTTCTCCATATACTATGGTATAGGGGGAGAAAGTAAAGAATCAAAACATTGACTTCCAATTTTGTAAAGTACACCTTTTTTACCACAGCAAAATATGAAGCCTGTTTGGGTTGGGTAGATTGTCGTTTACAAGACGAGGGGGCGTGAAGTACATAGGCTTATCATGTCGTTACTCCTCTTCATCTTGCAAGTGTCTTATGTTTTATGCCTGGCTGCTTTTTAATGTGCTGATGTTAACTACATGCTTTTCTCTTTTTTGCAGAAATTTCACAAGTTGCATACTTTTACTCTTTTAGTTATAAAGTATAACCAAAGGACAATAATTTAAAAATGTATATTATAATTTGCTTAAAATAGGCGTAAATAAGTTGGGAAAATAACAAGGAATAAATACAGTTGAACCTCTATAAGACGAATTTCAAGGGGTACGCGAAAAATTCATACTATAGAGGTATTCTTAATAAAGAGGGTCGTTTTATCGAGGTTTAATGCTGCTGTTATTCTTCTTATAGAGGTTTCTCCTCACTCCAAGGTTTCTCTAAACAATGACTGAGGAAGGAGGAGGGATGGGTGGGGGTTTCATGTTGAGACAAGCTTCTGTTTGTTTTCAAAACTACGTACTATGGAGGTTAAGATTATGATAAATATGTTTTATAGAGATCACGTTCGTCTTGTAGAGGTTTTGTCCTAAGAATATTCGTTGTATAGAGGTTAATCAGTCCTAGCCCATGTCACAAACAAATTCGTCTTATGGAGGTTTTTAACTTAATTACTACGTTGTATAGAGGTGTTTTTAGCATTGACCTATATGAAAGTGTCAAGGGGATTAAAACAAATTTGTCTTATCGAGAAATTCGTTTTATCAAGGTTCGTACAAACGAGGTTCAACTGTAGTAAAATATCCAAATACACTAGCTTTACGTACCCAAAACATAATTACCTTAATTTTTTGCATTCGTTCTTGAGGAAAAGGTTCGTATTGACCGTATGTACGCCAGTTTTTGTGATATCTTCAAGTGGTATAATAGCTTGATATCTTCTAAAACACTAACACTAAAAAGTAAAAAATATTCAACTTTCTATTTAGAGAAAATATTTACACTTGTAACTCGTATTGTAACCGTACGACGGAGTCACGGCAGTAGGTTTTTCATCATCTGTTTAATTTCTTGTACTCAAGCAATGAGCGCAAGATAGCACTAAAAACTACAAACCTTTACCTCAAGAACGAATGCAACAAAATAAATGTAAATCGTATAATTCAAGCTCTTTAAACTGGGATAACACAACAAAATCACCTAAAAATTGTCTTCAGCTTGTCACTCACAGGAAGGCATGAGAAATTTTAGTTAGATATACAAATTGTAGAGGCTAATATAGGTGCATTTTAAACGTGTTTGAAAAATAAAAATGGCTTTTACTTGTTAAAAACTTGTTATAAAGACTCTTTTTCTAATCATATTTTTATTTAGTAATCGGAATAAGATACCTACCTGTTTGCCCCATTGAAAAAATGTCCATGAGCGATAAGTATAACAAATCTTTAAGATAGCCTATTGTGTTCAGTTTATGGGTCTACTATTAAATTTTTGTTACAGCTGCCAAATATAACAGCTGTTCCTCCATGGTTCTCGGTCATTGTATTCTTCCACAACGGAGTGTTCGTCACGGGAGACTCAAACTTGTTCCTCCCGACTTATCTGTTGGACCAGGACGTCATACTTGTCACCGTTAACTACCGACTTGGGGTTCTTGGTGAGTATAGTACTTACAATAACAAAATATTATAGAAACACGTCTATTTGAACTATTTTGTCTATTTGACGTATTTTAGAATTTTCTCCGTAATCAATAACCCTACAAAAATACTTTGATAAACTAAATTATTTTTTTTTTTAAGCTCTTTTAAATGGTCTAGAGAAAATTAGGAAATTTTGTATTTGAGGGTCAAAAATGAGAAAACCCTATTTCTACCCAATATAACCTCCCATAAAACCCCGTTCTCATGGTCCGATCATGCTCGCTCGCGAACTCATTTAAGTTTATCCCACCTTCAAACTAAATTTAATTGAAATCAGACAAAAATTACTCAAGTTATCGCATTCACGGACACATATATAAATCCATATATAACATTTTGAAGGGATGGTGTTTTCGGCCTCTGCGGACATCAACATGAATAAGTGAACTGGTCCCGGGCCTAGGTCTTACCGTGGCACCTACGGTAATAGCTACTTCCCCATAGGGAAATTTGCTAAAATTAATCTACACTTGATACTAAAAGAATATTAGGGATTATATTAAATTTTTGGGGATTATAAATTAAATTTAAGAGTGTAAACTTATCAATAGCCAGTTGCTTTTGTTCAGTGTGTTTGCTCCATATGGCTATAGCGTCCCAAACTGTAGGAAAAGTAAGTTACTAGTACGGTACTGGTTATTTATGTGTATATTTTGTCTTATTATGAGGGTTGAATCAATTTGACTTCAAAGCGTTTAAGCTAGATTTCATATCAAATACTACTCATTTTAGACACAAAAGTATTGAAAAGTAAAAATCAAGTAGGATTAGTAGGAGGGGTGAAAACCCTTTATTGTATTAAGTTTATAGATATATTTACTTTTATTATCCAGGTTTTCTAAGCACAGAGGACCTTGTGGTGCCAGGAAACAATGGACTGAAGGACCAAGTGTCTGCCTTACTTTGGGTCAGAGACAATATAGAGAGGTGAACTAATTAAATTTTAAAACAATTAAATTATTCATTAACTATTTCTAGTATTAACTACTAATTATCTAATAGATTACTCGAGTCAAATAACTTTAATCAATGCATTAGAATATTCTGTATTATTACTAAAAGATAATTTAAATAATTTGTATAATTTTGAATAGGGTCGGCTGCTATTGCTGTAGACAATTTTCCATTCAAATGGAGGTTGAATGAGCTACTCACAAAGTCAAAATCCTTTTTTTCTCTATTTTTCTTGTAGGATACTTATTTTTGGTAAATTATGTTGGATAACAAATTGTTTCTAGTTTAAAATATTTTGTTTATTCAATTGATCTTGGTTATGTGTACAACATAAATCAGTAATTGACTTGGATGATGTTTCAATTTCACATTAATGTTGATTTGAAAATTGGCTATGCTATAACTTTACCACCGAATAGGCTTGGAATTTCAAATATTCTTCAAGTTAAATACAGTATAGCACACACCAAAGTTCAGGCTAATGCAGGAAATGCAGGTTTGGTAGTGCTTGAAACTCTTTTCTTGGATGATTTAGCTGTTTTTAATATGCGGAGTGAGCTGGTCTTGGTAGAACAAAGGATCTCAGTCCCGAGGTCCAAGGTTCAAATCCCCCCAAATCACCAGTGGATTTTAGATTTTATCTAAGTAATAATGCACAACCCCTAAGTCTAGCCTGAATTAATGTGAAAAATGATTCTGGGCTAGAACCAATCGTCTAGGACAAAAATCCACTAATGTTATTGTCGTTCCACAGTTTTGGGGGTGATAGTGATAGAGTGACTATCGCAGGTAACACAGCTGGAGCTGTCTCTGTACATCTTCACTTCCTCTCATCACTCTCAGCTGGTCAGTATCTATACTATATGAAATGTATTAGCTTTTTACTCGGTTGAACCCGTGTTTTAAACACAGTATAAAAAATTTGTTATTATGGAAGTTACTTTAAAAAATCCTTGCCTGTATCACCATTGATTAAATACCTGCTATTTTTTACTTTCTCCCCCTATACCATAGTATATGGAGAAAGTATTGTTTTCGTCAAAATTTTCGAGTTTGAGTTTTGAGTGGATATATTCGTTTTGGGTCCCCCTGGACCCAAAAAAGTGGTTTTCGAAGTGATGTCTGTGTGTGGGTGTGTCTGTGTGTGTGTCTGTGTGTCTGGATGTGTACAGAGCTAGAGACTACACCTGTGGTCCGATTTCGAAGAAATTTGGTATGTAGGTTCTAATCCATGGTATCTCCAGAGGCGTTTTTTTCATTTTTTTGAAATTTTTATTTTTAATGGGGATTTTCCCATAAAAACCCATAAAAAACCGGAAAAATCGGATTTTCTCAAAAATGGCCCGAACGATTTTGATAAAAATTTAGTATGTTGTAGCCCTTTCAATTCTGAACAAAATGGTACAATTCCCATTTCTGTAAAAATTACGGTTCAAAAGTTATGGTAAATTATGTTATTTTCCCATAAAAACCCCATAAAATAACGAAAAATAGGATTTTAGACAAAAATCCTGTTTTGATTTAACATTGTATGTTATGGTCCTTACAACTGTGATAGTTTTTTTCATTTTTTAGAAATTTTTATTTTTAATGGGGATTTTCCCATAAAACCCCATAAAATAACAGAAAAATAGGATTTTCCCTAAAATGGCCAGAACAATTTTGATAAAAATTTAGTATGTTATAGTCCTTTATATTCTGAAGAAAATTGTACAAATCCCATTTCTGTAAAAATTACGGTTCAAAAGTTATTGTAAATTATGTTATTTTCCCATAAAAACCCCATAAAATAACGGAAAATCAGATTTTTCCAAAATTGGCTCGAAAGATTATGATAAAAAATTTAGTATGTTATAGTCCTTTAAATTCTGAAGAAAATTGTACAAATCCCATTTCCGTATATTTACTCACCGCTTACACATGATAAAGGTTGTTGACAAGCTTATGGGAGAAAGTATGTGTCGGAATGCTGATACCGTTTATTTTCTAATCAATGGTGCTACTTGAGAATCTGGTCTATACAATTTATTAATATATTGGATCAGCTGTACTAATGTTTCAAGTTTCATAGCATATAAGTAGTTTTTGTTTGCAATGGATACAGTAGGTACTTTGGATATCAACCTAAATTTTCTCCCAAACAAGGATTTGTGGGGTAACACGTGGGGACATTGAGAAATAATAGGATGTTGCATTTCTTCAACAGTTTTGGTATTCGATTCAGAATTAGACCCTGATGTAAATTACAGTGCAAAATACACTGTGCTGCATGCCCACTTTCTGGGGACTTGCCCTCTCTAAAAAGAGGGAAAGCACACACTACTCTCAAAATTATTAGCATTAAAATTGAGGGGGCAATGGACAGCTTCAAACCCTATCCGTCTGGATAGGGAATGTTCGGTGTGATCCAACTTGTAGGCAGGTTTGTTCCAGGCAGGTATAGCTCAAAGTGGGTCTGCTCTGGCTCCATGGGCCATCAGCGTCAACCTGAGACAGAAGACTCAGCTGATGGCTGCGACCTTGGGATGTCCTACAAGTGATTCGGCTCTGATGGTCGACTGTCTGCGGACATTCCCTCCGCAGCAACTAGTCCTCTTCACACAGAACTATGAGGTAAGCCAACAACTATTTGTCTATAAGACTCAGCTGGTGGCTGCAACCTTGGGATGCGTGGGGGTTGTTCTTCTCAGATAAACTTGATTGGATCTCGTATACGATATTTAACAAGCTTTGTTATAGAATTTTGCCAAGATAAAAATCTATTTGTTATACGTTTTTATATTGTTTGCAGGTGTTTATAAACACGCCCTTTACTCCATTTGGCCCTATAGTGGAGAAGGAAGGAGAACGACGGTTTTTGACTGATTATCCGTACAAGTTGATTCAACAAGGATTGGGTTTGGATCGACCGATATTATTTAGTAACTGCAACAATGAAGGACTGTATCCACTGGCAGGTAAAAATCTAACACTTCAATTTAGTTTTGAAAACACTTCTACCATGAAAATAGATAAATTCAGGTTAGCTTAGTATTGGATGAGTGAATTATTTCGTCTAAATTTATTTTTACACAATACATATTTAATTTTTTGTCCTTAGAAAAGGAATTTAACATGGCAAGATAAGTTCCACCGTTAAATAAATAATTCCAGAGGTTCAAAAGATTAAAATCTAAGGAAAACTTTGTTTAAAGTGCTAGATGTGGTAGCAATATTTAGTGACTTAATCATGGAAGCAGTATGATTGTACAAGAAAGTTTTAGAAGTAAGGATAATACGGAAGATAAGTTCCATAAAAAAGAGAGTGATTCCAAAAGCTGATTTGAAACCACAGTCCATGGCATTGTTCACTTTTGAAACAGGCATTTGAAATGCAGTACCCACTTCTCTTTAAAAAGCTACGCAACATTTGTTGTATGATGAATTATTAACTCCTATACAGTTTAAAAATTTTTGTGTGTTTATGTTGCTATGCCAAGAGATAATTGGGAAGAGAGATCAATTGGAATTCCTGGAACGAAGATGGACCGATGTTGCTCCGTATCTTCTCAACTTCAATGACTCGGTGAATGGAAGAACTAATAAAGCCCTGGTCTCTAGGTTGATATGGAAGTACTATATTGGAAGTGCTACATCAGATTTGAGCTCTAAAATAATCAAGGTAAAACTAGATCAGTAATTGTTACTGTATATGTATGCTCTGTATACTATCATTGCCTTTTGGATACCGTACTACAGTCTGTTCAATTTTTAAAACACTTTTGTTGGTGGAGGGAAATTTTGAAAAATTATGTAGTGAAAATGTCAAGCATAAGTACGATACTAGGTTTAAATATAATTTTCAATATCCGCGGCACTGTCTTTCATTAGTAGAAAAAACTCATGGGCAAAAAAATTTTTAATAAATTGTTTTAAGAGCTCAAAAACAGAATACAGTCTAAGCATTTCAAGAGCAGCCTTACTAATTTTCTTTTAAGGAAAACATATTATAGTATAGATGAGTTTTTATGTGATCAAGATGTGTAATTATTTGGTATTTTAAATGCAACGTTTAAGTTTATCTATTTTGTCTACAACAGTTACTTCTATTTTCATAGCGTTAGTTTATTTTATTCTTTTATAACTCCTTAGTTTTAAGGTATTTGTATACTGTATTGACAATGTCACCTGTTTTATAGCATTGCTATATTTTGTAAACGTTATGTGACAATAAAGATTTATTTATTTATTTGTTCACAAAATTTAGGTCATTTTAAGGAATCAGTTCCATCCACTCCACCTCAACCTAACTTTGAAACATCAGCATCTCAATAATAGGCTATTAATTTCTCCCTCTACAGAGAAAGTGTATGCGTAAAAATGTTTTGAGTTTTAGGTGGAAATTTACATTCCGGGTCCCCCTGTATTGTTTTGCTCTAATCAAGTATCAAAACTGTTTGATTTATTTCTGGCAAATAAAGTATCAATAGCTTAATAACCACCTTCAATCAGGTATACAGTAGAACCTCTTTAATCCGAACGTTCACTAATCCGAACCCCTCATTGCTGTACTCTATAAACAGTTCAGCAGTTATTCACCATGTTTACTACTGTATTAAATAAACATTGTATTTTACTTTATAAAACATTTTTCACTTTTCCCAAAATAATGTTGATCAATTTTAGCCATGTTTTAGCTATTGTTATGTAAAAACAACAATATGTTCTGTAATCCGAACTATTCAATAGTCCGAACTAACCCTGGTCCTAATTAGTTTGGATTAAAGAGGTTCTACTGTAGTTTTGATTTTAATAAACACAAAATCATGTATTCATTTTGTAGATGTTTGGAGATCGTCAGTTCTTGGTAGACGGTGGCCGGGCGGCCGCACTCCAGGCCAAAGTCAACATCTTCAGTCCAGTGTATTTCTACAAGTTCTCTTACCGAGGCCACAACAGTTACTCGCAGTTCTACAATCCATCTCATGTAGGGGATTATGGTAAGGGATGTTAAATGTGACCGTTGTTATTAAGTTATATCTTTGACTATTTACTTGTTTAATTGACTATTTATTTATTTGACTAGATATACTTCAGTATCCAATAGTTAAAGGTCATATGTCCTCAACATGAGGAGCTATTTAGTAGTCTACTTGTCCCATGGTAAAATCTGAAGCTTCTTTTTTGTGTCTCTTTTCAGGTTACATATAAAAGCACTGATGTTGACTAAATGTTATTTTATTATTTCCTTCACAAGGTAGATGTTATTTGAAGTTTTCTTATTTATTTCATGAGCTGATTCACAAGGATGACAATTGTATAAGGAGTTATTTTATCACGTTTTAGTACCGTAATGCCTTAGGTTATAGAATACATGACATTTCTATTTTCTAATGCTTTACACATTTTAAACTTGGACCTTGTGAAACAGAACACTTTATATCTTGACAGCACCAGCATTATTACAGGGTCAAAAATCACATTGAGCATCACCGGTCATCAAAGTTTGAACCAAAAACATCCGAAGAGGAAGAAACTTTTAAAAAATGTTTAAATTTATCCCAACATTACAGGTGCCGCTAACGGTGACGACCTCATGTACATTATGCAAAGCCGAGCGTTGTTTTTCAACTCCTCCAACCTGTCTGAGGACGTGTTGATGAGAAATATAATGACTGGAATATGGGCCAGCTTCGCAATAACAGGGTACGGTAGTGTATTCGAATAGTAAATAAACAATATCAGCAATATGACACATGATCTTATCATGGGTAAGCGGTGGGGGTAACTATGATATTTGATGGAGAATACAGTATAACAAAAGCTACAATCACTTTTGAGCTGTCATTTTTACAGCAACTGGGGTTGTAACATAATGTTTTTAAGTTAGAGGGGTATAAATACTAATGACTTGTATTGTCTTAAATGTTATGAAACTTTCTACGAAACCCAACGGGTGGATTCTATTTTAGAAAAATTTGGTCTGCTAGATTCCGACTGATGATGGACCTTCGGGCCCGAAATTAATTTCGGATCAAAAAACAGGATTGCTGAGGTAAGGCCTTATAATATCAAATAATTACTAACTTGGAATAAAAATCGTTCAAGCCATTTAAGTGAAAATTATGGGTCTTTATGAGAAAATTTTGTGGTTTTTTTTACGTTGCCATGGTGACCTTATAATATTTAGTTTCTAAAGCCACGTCTCAAATTTTTAAAGCTTCGAGACTCTTAAGTCATAAAATAAAACAGAAGAGTATCAAGATTATAGTGCATTCAAACAGCCGTGGCACCTGAGGGATTAGGAGGCCCCAAGGGTTTCCATGGGGTGTCCTAATCCGTCAGGTGCCACGACTGTCTGAACGGAGTATAGTATAAAATGATAAGTAGCTAATTTGGTCTGTTAGTTTTAGCATAGCAAAAAGACATAGACATGTAATGTTTTATAATATTATATGTAGATGTGACTAATCTGAATTTTTTTCCCACAGAACCCCCTCTATTGGCAACATATCCTGGCTTCCAGTGTCATACCTGGACTATGAATACAACACTCTAACTCATTTGGATATTGTGTCTCCCAACAGGCTGACTATGGTGAGGAGTTCTAACTTTGGCAACTCTACTTTTTGGAACAGATTACCTCTGAGAGAGCCTTGGAGTGGAAGGTATTCTTGACTATTTAAATTTGTCATAATAATGTGGTAGTGAAAACAATTTTAACAAAAACGTGACGTATACTTGCAAACATTATTAACTGTTAGAGGGTTCTGTAACACGAGTATATGACTTTAGTGTAATATCCTTTTTTGTTCCTATTTCTGGGTTCAAGTGTCGACCTCCATCTTCTATTCCTCCACCTGTGTCAGTTCGCTCTCTTTTTAACATGTTGAAGAGTTATTTATCATTTCAAAATATATATTCAAATACTAAAGTGATGGCAATTTAAATATCTAGGGAGTCCTCGAAGGCTAACGGCCATCTTGGACTTTCCACCATAAGAGCAATGTTAATTTCAAAACGCCTCTGAAGAGTTATTTATCACATAAATATTTTGTCCAAATACCGGTACCAAAGTGATTGTAATTTAAATATCTAGGGTGCTGTGAGATCAGAAATTGTTGTTGTGGTTTTGTAATTGTGCTCCCTGGATCAGCCCACCATAAGGACAATTTTAATTTCAGCCACTCAAGAGTTATTAACCCTCATCAAAATATGTTTTCAAATGCCAAAGTAATTGTAATTTAAATATCTAGAGCACTGTGAGATCAGAAATTTTCTTTGTAGTTTCGCAATAGTTTTATGAGTTAGCACATCTAGGCTCCAAGGTATCTTAAGGGAAACAAGTTGATTCAGGTTCAAAGAATTATAACAGTTAATATTTTATTAAAACTGTGTATTAACTAAAAACTGGTCAAACATAATGATCTGTATAATAGGTGGAACCAATCATAATTATTTGTACTTAAAGCTGTATTTGAACTAGTATCAGGTCTGTTGTCAGAGCTGATGTAATACTACAACTAATGTATATGAAAATTGTAACATATTACAATGTATTTTAAGAAGCAACATTTTTTGTCTTATTGGGCGGTTAAAAACCCAAGCTTTTTTATATCTTAGATTTTTAACAATCAAACAGCTGATTTACTGTTTACGATCACTGTAATGTTTATAGATTAAAACACATTTTGTATTACATATCGTAAACCAGGCCCCACCTTGAGATAAAATAATTGAGTAGAAAAGAAGTAGGATAAATGTTGTACATATAAAACTTGCATCGCCGTACCATTCTGTGCATCAGTTCAATCAATCAAATAAAAAAAAAATATGATTGGAATTAAAAAAGATACTTTCAGAATGGAAGAGGAAAATTAATTATGAAGAAAAGTATCAGAATTATTAATCAGTTCTAAAGACTGCTGCAGTATCATAAAGTAATTTCTAGAACCAAAGTACACTAAGAACTACTTGTATAAAAATAGGAATTTATCAAGACTACGATAAATGTGAATAATTTTCTATAAAATATAAAATGAAAACAATAAATAATAAAACTAAACAAACAATAGTTTTATTTGCTACTTTTTTTATTTACATGTTAAACACAGTGAAAGAAGGACAAGATTCTAACTAAAAACTTCCCCAGTAAAATACTAACCCACATGTATTAAGAGAAATAAAGGTATAACAAACCAAAAATATCAATTAAATTTGGTATTTGCTGTTCTATTTTAGATTGTGCACTGGGAAACATTTAACTTTAAAATAAGTTAATTAACATTGATGATGTAATAATTTTTGATACACTTTAAAATGCTATGTCATGATAAAAAGATGAAACACTGTATTTTAGAAATATATTTCTTTGTAATTATTTTACTAATAAAATTGGTCACATGAAAGCATGTAACGTCTACCATAATACTCATGATGAGTCAGCACAAATGAAATATCCGTAATTAATCTTTAGTAAACAAGACTAAACTTACCCATCAAACTTTAAAAAACACTTGATTCACATTCCAAAAATAAATCTACCTAAAAGTTTTCTTTCCCTAATGCTAATTTTTTCCTTACCGACAAAGGAACAAACTGAAAAAAAAATTACTGACACGTTTCCTGTCCGAAGAACGACAAAATAAAATTAATTTGCATTTAAACAATGCAATAAACGTTTACACATCTCGTTTGGCGAGAACAATGCTGACCATTTATACTTGTATTTTTGCGGCAAAGCCTCGAACGGAGATCACACACAATACTGTAGAGTTAGACTTTGGACGTCGGGCGGACTGGAACCACCTGGTTCTGTTCGGTGAGAGGTTTGGACGCAGAATTACCTCCGGATCTCCCCCTTCCGCCCCTTCGACCGCGTGACTTTTTCCCCGACCTCTGAGGCATATTCTCTCTCTTGTCGGCAGTTATCTCAAATGGTGAATCAATGTCTGGCGGACCGTTCTGTGTCAGCTGCAAGAAAACATTTGTTTCAAACAAAAGAATAATATAGCGAGAAAAAGGGAAAAGAGGACAATAATTTAACTTGTAGGCCTACTAGATGAATGTGGATTTGGATTTGCATGTGATGCATGGTGCGTATTTTGAGGTGATGTGTGAAGGATACGTAAAAGTGTTATCCTTCACTAGTGTAGTGTACAAAACACTAGGCTAGCATTTTGCCTGAATAAGAAAAGTCTACTTCGATACCTACAAAAGAAACAAATGTTTACACTATACACAATAGTTAAAATATTTCATTATCACTGACACTTTTAACCATAGGAGGTTTGAAAAGAGAGAGTCCAATGATAAATGAATTGAGTCTCTCTTCCCAACTCAAACTCTCCTTGGTGAAAATGCTGTTTACATTCTAATATTTTAACTTTTGTACACAGAGTAAAACCAGAGTAGTAGATTCTTTCTTAATCACAAAATATCATTTTTGTGTACAGTGTAATGTATTTTGTGCTTCTTGGGCCAGAGTGAACTCTTCTCACTCTGATAATCTCACTCTTCAATGAGTTGATGAACAGTTTGTGAAAGTAAATCCACCGTGTAGAAGGTTGTTCACATTGTAGGGATGTTAGTTACCAAAGGTTGTCTAACCTGATGAGGAAGCTGTGAGGACAGCATCTTGTTGGGTTTGACTCTAGCAGTCTGGCCAGGCTGGTTGTTGGTGGGTGGGATGATCCTCAGCACATTCCCCACAGCCTTGGTCCTGCCCTCACGGAACACCATGCGCTGTCCTGCACGCAGATACTCAGGGTGTTTGATGAAGCGGAAGTGGACCACGGCCTGTATCAAATGTACAACACTTAAGATTTTCAAGGTAGACGCAAGTAGTGTTGAGATCTATTATTTCACTAAGGCGTTTGATCGATCCTTGAAAAAAAAGGCAAGGGTGTTACGAACTAAGACAGATGGCGAATATGAAACAAATAAGAATTGGCAAGACACTTTCATGACCGAGTTAGAGCAATAAACATTTCAGTTCAATCGTTATTCATTATTTTTGCTTAGTTACCTTATCACCTGTCCTGAGACACTCCTCAGACATGCTTAAGATGGAGGCAGTTTGTCTGATGCTACCGCAGTGAACTGAAACATAAATAAAACTCAAATCAGTGGCGAACCTTGCTTCATGTGATCGCACTCGACAAAATTGCTATTTCAAACTCTGTACACACCTTTAAATTTAGAAATTAAATTTTACAAGAGAAGGGGTGATAAATTAAGTAATTAATAATTCAAGTCGTTCACAGGGTTAACGAAGTTGCTGTGTATAATTGTGCACACTAATTTGGTAGTATGTAGGGAGCGAGCTGGTGTAGTAACAGAGAGTGGGACTTCGGTCCCTGAGGCCCTGGGTTCAAATCCCACCAAATCACCAATGGATTTTATCTAAGTGATAATACCGCAACCCCTTATTTTAGCCTGAAGTAATATGAAAAACGATCCCAAGCTAGCGTCCTAGGACAAAAAAAATGTATTTATTGACTATGTTAATTGTCCCTAATTACCAAGGTGCACAAAAGTGAAATCATACAAAATATTGTTTTTGATTGAGCGAAGCTCTTTGGGATCAACTTCAATGCAAACAATATAACACCATCACTCAATAACGGCTGAACACATTTCAGCCAAACTTAACAAGACTACTTAGACTAATTATGAGATGGTTTGTAAACATACAAATTTCAATTAGATAATGCTAATGCAATTTAAAACGAACTTAAAATTTCAAATGTTTAACATTAGGCTTATGGGACTAAAGTAGCTATGCCAGTTTTTTTGTTTACAAGAAAAATGTAAACAAGAGAATCATAAGGTATTTCTGAACTTTCTATACTTTTCTTTTACACGTTTTTAAACCATTCCTATGATTTTAATAAACGAGAAAATGCCGTTAAAACATTTTTTTAAGGCGCGGAATTCACTGAAAATCGATAAAATATACGGAACTACTTTCTCAATGCACGGAGCATAAACAAGGAGCGGAGGGATACGGACCGGTGACTACTTTCTTGGGAACCTATTTGTGTTGCCAGCTGATTAGAAACAGCCAATGTTAGAAATCAGGATTTAATAAGCGATATATCGAACCGCATCGAAATCAGTATTTAATCCGATAATACCTCATAGGTTATATTATGTTAAATTACATCGACGGTAAAGTAAGTTATTACACTTATTGATAAAACGCAGATTGAACACTGATCTAATTTAGGCATGTGGGGAGGTAGGTCGGGGTTTATGAGTATTCGTGACTACATTAAGTGTTTTGAAGTAAGGTTAGATTAGGAAGGTAAAGTGTAAGCTATAGGTAGGTGATCGGGTTGTTTATTTGTGTTGCACCATATAATTTTTATCTTTTTGGATTGGAATAGTTGGTTAAGCTCTTTGGGATCAACTTCAATGCAAACAATATAACACCATCACTCAATAACGGCTGAACACATTTCAGTTAAACTTAATAAGACTACTTAGACTAATAATGAGATGGTTTGTAAACAAACCAATTTTTATTAGATAATGCTAATGCAATTTAAAACGAACTTAAAATTTCAAATTTTTATCATTAGGCTTATGGGACTGAAGTAGTTATGACAGTTTTTTTGTTTACAAGAAAAATGTAAACAAGAGAATCATAAGGTATTTCTGAACTTTCTATACTTTTCTTTTAAACGTTTAAACGTTTAAACCATTCCTATGATTTTAATAATCAAGAAAATCTCGTTGGTTATAATTTAATCTACTTTTGCAAGAGGTACCCTATCTGAATCACAACAAGATGTAGTCAAGAGGTAAATTATCTATACTTTTTTATTATAATTTTAATCAATAAAACAAGCATTAGTACATATATTGTTTTTTTTTATTTAGTTAGTTATACAAATATTAAAACAAGTTTTCTCCGTTCAACTGGCTTTCACCGCTTTGAAAGCAATCCTAGTTTAAGATGGTAATCACAAATTCAAACCAAATTACCCATAGCCTGGTAGCGTGAACTGATAGTGGTGGGGTGGTGAAGTACCAGAATCTCTCCCTCAAACTCCCAGCAAGCTTGAGGATTGAGTGCAGGAGACACCATCACCATGCCTTTCCTTATCTGTGACCTCTTGATCTGTAACACAACAGGTAGACATCATGGTCTGACAACATCAACTGATAGTGGTGGGGTGGTGAAGTACCAGAATCTCTCCCTCAAACTCCCAGCAAGCTTGAGGATTGAGTGCAGGAGACACCATCACCATGCCTTTCCTTATCTGTGACCTCTTGATCTGTAACATAACAGGTAGATATCATAGTCTGACAACATCAACTGATAGTGGTGGGGTGGTGAAGTACCAGAATCTCTCCCTCAAACTCCCAGCAAGCTTGAGGATTGAGTGCAGGAGACACCATCACCATGCCTTTCCTTATCTGTGACCTCTTGATCTGTAACATAACAGGTAGATATCATAGTCTGACAACATCAACTGATAGTGGTGGGGTGGTGAAGTACCAGAATCTCTCCCTCAAACTCCCAGCAAGCTTGAGGATTGAGTGCAGGAGACACCATCACCATGCCTTTCCTTATCTGTGACCTCTTGATCTGTAACATAACAGGTAGATATCATAGTCTGACAACATCAACTGATAGTGGTGGGGTGGTGAAGTACCAGAATCTCTCCCTCAAACTCCCAGCAAGCTTGAGGATTGAGTGCAGGAGACACCATCACCATGCCTTTCCTTATCTGTGACCTCTTGATCTGTAACATAACAGGTAGATATCATAGTCTGACAACATCAACTGATAGTGGTGGGGTGGTGAAGTACCAGAATCTCTCCCTCAAACTCCCAGCAAGCTTGAGGATTGAGTGCAGGAGACACCATCACCATGCCTTTCCTTATCTGTGACCTCTTGATCTGTAACATAACAGGTAGATATCATAGTCTGACAACATCAACTGATAGTGGTGGGGTGGTGAAGTACCAGAATCTCTCCCTCAAACTCCCAGCAAGCTTGAGGATTGAGTGCAGGAGACACCATCACCATGCCTTTCCTTATCTGTGACCTCTTGATCTGTAACACAACAGGTAGACATCATGGTCTGACAACATCAACTGATAGTGGTAAGGTAATTTTTTTTCATAATTTGTAGATAGGTTTACAATGTTCATAATGTAGACAAATACTTCAGCTGCCAATCACCATTGATAGACCTACTAGTTAGTCAAAATTTCTCAAGTCATTGAAGAATGTTAAAATAAGTCACATGGAAACTACCTTTGTTATCTTCGATCTTCGTCAAAACTCCTGGATATCTCCTGTGGTAAAGGAAACATCATTGTCATCTTCACATCATGTCAAAACATTGAACATCTCCCACGGTCACGGGAACAGCATTATCGTCTCCCGGAGTCAATTAATAATTAATTCCAATAATAATAATTAATAATAATTAATTAATAATTAATAATAATTAATAATTAATTCACCTTCTATGTCAGTTAAGCAATTAATTTAGCAATTTAAAGCTCCTCGAATAATCCAACCTTTTCACTGTTCCAACCATAGTCCCAGGTGACAGATTAACGGGGTTGCACCTTTTTCTTTGCTTGATAAGTTTTAAACACAGGTTTTTGTGGCCATATTTCAAGTCCTAACAAGATGATTCTAAAATACCAATTTAAATTACAAATAAACTTTTTCAACCAATCATTACCTTGCCTAAGTCATAAAACTATTTAATATCCTGAAATTATACCTTTTTGAGTGCGAAAGAAGCAGTCTGTCCACCTCGGACCTCCCTCACTGCCATCCGCTTGCGGTGGATGCTCTTGACTGCGATGGGGATGAAATGTCCGAGGGGGTCGGGGCCAAGCATCAGTGTGTCGTTCAGACGAATCACTCCCTTTAGGGTAGTGCCAGATACAACCGTTCCAACACCCTGCATGTCAGGAGAAAATTGTTCAGTTTATTTTTTATTGTAACATACAAATGAACTCCGTGTATTCTACTTGTATATTCAGATTTTTTAGCATCAAACTGTTCTTGACTGAAATATCGCTACAAAAAAGGGGTGGGAAAAAGTCTGATGAGCCAACTAAAATAGAGATAAAAATTGATCCCTGCTAAATTATTGTATGTACAAAAGAAATGTTGGTAAGTTGTTTACATTGTCCATTTTTTCTCGATTTGTATGGATTACCAAGAGGTTATAGAGATTGTTTACAAGTCTAAAAGTTGTCCGTTCAATCCCAAGTGGGACCAACCCTGGACCCATCCGCTATTTATCATTAGGTTATTAATGAAGCTATATAACAAAATGTGCATGTTAAATAGTAATAAGACCAGGGCCTGGAATGTTTCCTTGCGAATAAAGGTAAAATATGCCAAAGGCATTGAAACAAAAACAACAAAAAAACTGCCATAGGGTACAGCAACATACTGATAACTATGAACTCATCCACCAAACTTATAACACATTTTTTAAATAGCTGTGTCAAAAAGTTTTTTTACAAATAAGGCTTTAAAATTTTTAAAAGTTTACAAAGAATGTTGCAAGTATAACTTCATCATTTACGGTATTGGGGTGGAAATTTTTAATCTTAATCAGAAAAAAACCCAAGCATAGCATTGACATCCTATCCTATTTCAGCATTTTTTCAGAGAATTGAGAAATGTTAGTTTCCGAATGTGCAAAGCATCACCATTCAACTATTCTTAGTTAGGCTAGGTACATAAAAACTACTTGGTAAAAATTGACCAACGTACAGGAACAGAATAAGTGTCATCAATCTGGAACTCTGCTGGATCGTTGTCATGAGATGCCATCCTTGTTGTCAACAAGTTGAGGAACATCTTGAGCAGATCTAGGTTGTCTCCGGTCACGTTAGACACTTGAAAGATTGGACATAGCCTGAAACAAAAAGTTCTTAGTTCAGGAAACTAATATATTAACTATCTACGGTAGGCCTAAAGTTACCTTCTACTGTCCAACCTAATCCTTGAATTGTTGTTTGGTGGCTGGTTTTATTTAACGTATGGCGTTATTTTCATACGTCCCTTTTTTATACATTTTTATACGTCCTCCTGTTTCAAAATTATGGTATAGGCATCAAAACCCTTCGCCAAATAGACAACTCGAGGAATACAAAGGCAGAAAAATGTTGAGTAAATAAAAACAGCAAGTTTGAATTGGCAAGGTTTGTCAAACATTTACAATAGGCTATGTTAAAATATTGGAAAAACCTTATAAATTTACATAAGTTTTCACAGAAACCTGTAAATTAACTGGAAATAAATTTCTTTAAATTAAGTACTGTTGACACAAATAACCAATTTACCTTTCTGACACAAAGTTGGTAGCGCTGATGACGACGTCGTCGCTGCTCTTGACCATGACGGGCACTTTACGGCAGCCGGAGCTCTTGAGTATCCTTACCAGGAGTCGTAGAGTGTCCTGAAGTACGTTGGGAGGACACATGTCTATCTTGGTGACTACCACAAACACAGGCACGGACAATGCCAGTGCCAGGCCAAGATGTTCCTTGGTCATACCAACAATACCTGCGTTGGCTCCCACCTGACAAAACACAATTAAAATGATTATTGGTTGAAGAATTCAGGACCATATTTGTAGTTTTATTGACCCAAGCCATTTACAGGGGGTAGATGGTAAGGGTTGTGGTTAAGAGGTGTGAGACCCCCCAAAGTGAAACCCACTACTTTCTCTCCTCTATGACTGCCTCTTACAAAGACCAAACACCCTCTATCTAACAGGGCCTTTAGGCCTACTGATGGATTTTGACACTTATATGCCCATCCCGATAACGATTTATAGGCTTTCACTCCCTTCCCCAATTACAGTTGGCTTTCGATAATCTGACACATACAGTAGGACTACCAAGAGGGAATTGGACTACCAAATAAGATACATCATTTAAAAAAAAAACAAATAACCCAAAAAAATCAAATTAGCCTATAATGTCTTATTATACCATAGAACAGTTATCAGTACAGTTTACATTCAACTAAGCCTACCAGTATTGCTTGAGTTTTACAGTCATAAAAGGGAACATTTTTCAATATAGGCCTACCTAAAATAACCCAAACTATGTATAAAACTCACCATAAGCATGCCGAAGTCGGGTGCATGCCCTGTCATGCCAAACACCGTTGTTTTGAGGTAACGCTCATGTCCTGCAAGATCTATGAAGGTGATCACTTTGGACGACTTCTCACAAATCTTGACCCAGTCCAGCGAGCCATGCTCAGGCTTGTTGACAACATTGCCTACACAATACAAGAGTCGTTATTTTCTATGATTTGTGGCTACTAAAGTATACATCCCATCCATATGGATCAGCTGTAACCAATTTCCGTACTAAAAAAGAACATGTTGTATGAGCCGCTCACAGAGTGTGATACAGGAAAACATAATAGTATTTTCCTTCGCTAAAATAGTTGGGTGAGGTACACAAACTCCAAATTTCACCGACTCCAAAAGTAAATTTTTTAAATGAACAGACCAAATTCACAGTCCAAGTGCTTAAATTTTAAATAAACTTTGTTTCACAAACTTCAATGGTTGTAATAAATAAGCAGAGCATTTGACAAACTCCGAAATTCACCTACTCTAAAGTACAGTCTGGCCAGTTGTTGCAGGTTATATGAGCCTTAAGGGTTAACCTATCACAATAACGCAGTCTTTGTACTTACCCATGCTGTCGAAACCGAGTATATCGTTGCCGACTGAACTGGTACGCCCAGACTCCATCTCATGTTTGTGCCTGAACAATTTCAGCCGAGCGTGTCCTCGGCCGTTGTCCAGCTCTCCGTGAGTCAACACACCTAGCAGTGTGGACTTTCCTGCGTCTACATTGCCCACCACGGCAACCCTGGTGAACAGGTTAAGGATATAAGACAGTGAATGATAATGGAATGATAAGTTTGTTGATTAACTTATGGGAAACAAGTGCTTAAGATAAATTCTAATAACATGAACAGATACAACCATTAGACAGGCCCGCGGTTTGTATGTGGTGCGCTACGGGCCCGCTTATGAAAAAACTGAAAGAATAACATGAGAAGGAAAAAAATAATTGTTTTAGGTTGTATGATGCAGTATGCACTCGTCTCTAAACATCATTTTAATACCTTTTTTCCTATTTTTATGGTTTAAACACCTAAAACTAAAAAAGTTTATTTTATCATTATACGCTATTTAATATATTCATTAATTTTAAGAGTGCCATCCAGAAAGTAACAGATGTTTTGCATTGGCGTGGCTTGGGGCCGCCATCTTATAAACAAGTATTTCTACACTCAGTACACATCCCCAGCTACAGTAACTAGCGCATATATCTCTGGTAAATTGTTTGCAATGGAGTGTTAAAATCAGCGCTGTTATTACATTGCCGGTTGCGAGGATCAGTGTAAAGAGGCTCTGGTAATTATGGTGAAAAATCACAAACCAATTTATCACCAAATTGTGATGTTTACAGCAAAGAAGTTATGAGTGAGGACTGCAGGACACAGTGGTGCATTAACATGAAAAATGTCTGAAGAAACGTTCAAGATGAGGACTGCAGTAGTAGGCACGGTTGCCCGATTCTGCCGGGACAGTCCCGATTTCGGTTCCTCGTGCCCACATTTAAGCCTGTTAATCCAGGGGGAGGGGGGCCATGTTCCGAGTTTTCCCTAATCTAAGGTGAAAACCCTGGTAGTAGGCCTAGTCTAGAGACTGACAAACTGGTGGGGAATGCCTATAAAAATCGCCATTTCAAATTATCATGAAACATTTCCTCCGAATTTCCTAATTTGGTTCATAAAATTGTGTAAAAAAAGGTTGCCACAAACTTTGTGCTGGGTGGGTTCTAAGATCTTGACGGATGATCACAATTGAAAATAATTGATAATTGAAAATTGTTGCAGTAGGTACCTACATTTCCAAAAGGCTTACAAAAGTGGAAACAAAGTTGATGTTTAGAGTTAATGGACTACTCACTTGGCTTTCACTCATTACTTCTTGTAAACATCACAAATCTGGTGATAAATTTCAACTGGTTTGACTTTGCCGCATTTCATAAAAACTAAACCATGTATTATATTTGAAGATTACGTAACTGACCTGATCTCCAGAAAGTCCTGTTGCACAACCCTCCGCCTAACCAGATACTGTCCTGTTAGTCCTTGTTCACATTTGCTCTGACGTAGCAGTACACAGTCTGCGTCCAGAGTAGCTGCGAGAGACTGCAGAGTCGCCACTGAGGCTGCGTACTCATCCTCCTTTAGCCCGCTCTCTCCTTCATCTAAAAGTCATAAGCTCATCATAAAAGACATTTCATAAAAATGTAGTGGGTTCCAAGTGAAATACATCTTACATTTTACTTATAGACCTTACCTAATTAGGAAAACTAATCAAATATCGAAACTAGTCGTTTGCCGAAATAAAAAGTGCCAAAACACTAACAGAATGACAAATCATATCAGTTGGGGATGAAAATTAGTTTTTAAGTGTTAGTGTGTAAAATGTATTAAACGCAGTTTGCTCTTTTTTCATTAAGTGAAATTTACAACATAAAAAGTGAATTTTACCTTACTACACACTAGACAAGCATAAATCTAAAACGTGTGAACATCAAAATTATCAAAACTAACTATCAATAAAATTAACCAACAAACATAAATCTAATATATAAAATTCTCGTGTCACAGTGTTTGTCTGCAAACTCCTCCGGAACGACTTCACCGATTGCTATGAAATTTGGTGTGTAAATTCTGTAGGTATGCGAATCGGACGTAAACTATTTCCCGTTTCGAAATTCTTAAAAGGGCTCCGCCCCAGTGGCTCTGGAGTTTCCCATGTTAACCTTATGAGAAATGGAATTAATGAATCTTACGCATAACAGCTGTTTCAATTAAACAAGTTGGTTCTGTTCTATGATGTTCAGTAGCATTAAAGTTACAAGGATTACCAACAGGGTGCAGCACTATTATTTCTTTTACATTTATGACAACAGCTAATTTGCAACCAAAAGGTGAGTGAGCGTAGCGAACGAACTTCAACCTGGAGGCGAGTGAGCGTAGCGAACGAGCTAACCTGAAGGCAAGTGAGCGCAGCGAACGAGCTCCAACCTAAAGGTGAGTGAGCGTAGCGAACGAGCTCCAACCCAAAGGTTAGTGAGCGTAGCGAACGAACTTCAACCAGGACGTGATTGAGCGATGCGAACGAGATCATCTTGAAAATTAAACGTAACGGTACTTTCTTTCCATCGGTCTGTCTTAGGGGAAACCTATAACTTAGGCGATACGAAGTTCGCCGGGTCAGCTAGTTAACTATAAATGTTTAAGATAGTAACCTAACATATTACATCAAATTAAACGTGACAATCCGCTTAATATAACGGCACCTCGTGTGGTGGTGTTGACACCCAGGAGGCATGTGGTTGCGAATTATCAGCTGATTAATAGTTTTTTTACATTAGATGTTTATGTTTTATGTTGTGGTAAATGTTAGTGTAGAGGCTAATTTGTGGTTTTAAGAGGAAAAATTTAAACTAATTAGGTTGTAATTTTTCATTTCATTTCATTTTTCATAGTAATGCTTTCAGATAGAACCAAGCAGATTAAATGATTGATACTCGTGTTGGAGAAACCTCTTTATAGCACTAGTCAATGGTCTTTTGTCGGATGGGTTAAAAAACCTAGTTCTTATAAATAATTATTTGCAAAAAGAATTTATTATATACTCACCGACTCCTACGCCAATATCGACGATTGTTTCTCCTCTACCATCTTCGATTCGTTCTTTGATCATCTTGAGGAGCAATTCATACTGCTCTTCATTTGGACTCACCAGAGCGGTCTGCAAAGTGACGGCAAACCAAACATCAATAGTAGTAAATATTACATTTGAACTCAGCTAAATTATGAGTCTAGAATATCACAAGGTAAACCTAGGCCTACATTAACTACCTAGAATATATCACTAAACCCGCATTTACATGAAGTCGGTTTGGCAGGCAGGTTACCTGCCACAGTTAACTTGAAATACACAATAGGCAGATAACCTGCCTGCCGAAAGACCTTGTGTGAACGTGACTTTTAATGTTAACAGACTGTAGGGTGATTGCATAACTAGGGTATTTTAGTTATAAAACCATACATTTATTTATTTATGCACGGTAAACATCATTTTATATAATTATCCTAAATTAAACCAATGGGCCTTGCACACTGGGCTACTATAAGTTAATTTCACTTATAGTTGGCGCTTTCACATTCGTACATAATAGGCCTATGTAGCCCAGAATATAAAAGTTTTAAAAGAGCATACTTTTTGGTGGTTAGCCTATACGGTATGTAAAATGATGTGGTGAGGTGGCTAGTATGTTGGGTAACCGAAAGCTGTATGCCCAAGCCACCACATTTTTGATAAACGGGAAGCGCTACCTAACCTGCAGCCTCCCAACTACAAACTAGCCCCACAACTACAAAGGTCTAACTTAGAGGACAAACATAGCAACCCTGGTGGAGATGTTCAACTAGCCTAGACACCACTAACAAATCCATTCTATAAATGTGACGATTATTTTGAGGCTTTAAAAGGTTGAAAAATCATGTAGTGCATGGACCCAATGATATAGGCCTAAAGGTAGGCCTATGCCTAATTTTTATTTACCTTTGCATGGTTTGCTGTTTGGACTTGCAGTTTTGTTTGGTTTGTTTTCCTTTTTATAGCCTATTTAGTTTTAAAAAGGTTTAAATACCTGCTATTAAGCAATCCATTTAATTATTTAGTTATAGTATTAAATATTTAGTTTTATTGTACTTTGACGTAGCCTATTGTACAAACTTAATGGCCTGATAAAATCTTTGAACCTTTGCACCTTCTATTGTTAAGTTTAATCTTTGTTGAATTTATTTATTGTTATATTTGTTCTATTTTAACCTTATTATTGATGAATTATATTTATATTCTTTAACTTTTTAATCATTTAAGTACGGTAGGTAGGCCTACGGTATCAAATTTATTGTTCAGTTTTTTTCATGTAAACTTACTTATGCATTGGTTAGGCCGTTGGCATGTATAAATGGATATTAAGTTACCCTAGTTTGTTTTGTCTTTAACAGGTTCGCTGCGGGACGTCAAATGGTAGTGTGTATTCCCAGTGTGGCACATCCCGCAGCGTCGGACAAACCCGATTGCCGCGTGTGATTGGCTTTCCTGCTTACGAGAGTCAACATAATTCGCTAAACACCCACAGATAGCAGCGCTGCTTGGAACGTAGCCGGTCCCATTGGAATTGTATTGCCAAATAGAGGAAAAAAGACTGGACAAAAAGTTGATTTTTCAGCTTGCCAGACGGGTATTTTAAGGGGAAATTTACTACCAACCTAAACCACAGCAAAATGCAAGTCACACACTACACGCTAACGTGGTATAGGTTCGCTTTTGACCAACGATAGAGCAAAAACAAAGATATACAAAAGGCATTGCCGAACGTTCCCGATCGGGTACGGACGCACCATATGGGGGCCGAGCACTGTACCCAATCGGAAAGGTCCGCACCCAACGTTTTAATGTTATCTATTTAGTTTAAGTATTTAGTCCAAGTTATCATTTGTAGATTTTGAGAGGTTAGTAAGTTTAAAACATCCTTAAATCAAAGTGAGGAACTACTAAAGTACGTTTATTTGTCTAATTTGAAATGAAATTAAGTTAAATGAAATGTCTTTTTTGCTTTTAACATAAAAAAAACGCACATAGCAATCGTCAATGTTAATTATATCATAAATTCAACGATGCAATGTCGAGCCTAGACTGAAATGGTTTATTGAAAGCATTTGCCAATGCTACCATGTAGCCTATCACCATAATGATAATGATGCAATCCATAGGTCTGGTACATCACCTAAGTTAGATATTACCCCTACGTAACTGTCATATAACTTAGTTAGGCTAGAATAGATTTGGTTGACATGACTTAAAGTGGCCTAACTTACACTTTTTCAGCTTAAAGCCTTTTTTAATAATCATGAAAATGGTAAAGGGTGTGATGTACAATGAATTCCTTGTTTCTCTAGGATAGGCCTAACCCAAGTACAAGGGTGGCTCTGTTGGAACTAAGTCAATAAATAATTAAACATACCTTGGCTCTTATGCTTGAATAATCTGGTTGAGGACTTGGAGCATTCTCAGCTGCTTCAAAAAGGTTCGCAGCACTTTCTGCTGTATTAGGGGTCTGATCAACAACCCCTGCCATATTGAACAATCACAGCAAGTCTTAAAATTACGTGAACTTTAAAGATTAAAATTACAACCACTGTACCAAAAGCAAAATATGCTAAGTTGAGCTTATGATAATTTTTAAACTGAGATTATGTGAAGAAGTATCAGACAAATTCTACGTTACATGATTGCAAAAAGCGTACACAAAGAGGGTAAACAATTAAGTCTTGTACTGAAATTAGAAACTGATCACGACCACCAAAATAATAAGATCCACAAGGAGCTCTGAAAGTCAAAGTTCCGAAAAGTCTTTAGTGAATTTTTACCACGTCACAACTGCACGGCACATTCTACATAAATATCCAAAATGAAAGCCTTCTATTGCGACATATCAACACAATTGACAGTTCTTCGTTTGTTTATAAATTAAGCTTTACCAAACATACACCATCGTCTGCTAACGCATTAAATGTCAACCATCATGGATGTTGTGATTGCGTCACCTTGGCCAACCAACCAGCTGCCTGCGTCAGCGAATTGGAAATTTCTGATTTTGTGTTGCAAGCTTCAAAGGCCTGTAGTAATGAATATTGATCAAAAGCAAAGGTGATAGAATGGGTGAATCCATGATGACCACCTTAAACTACAGACCGTGGCCTTGTAGAATTGGCAACGTCGCAAGTGGTGTTGTTTAGTGGCAGACGTCCCATAAGATAAAATTGCAGACAGGTGATATCAGCTCATTAATTCACAAACTTTATTGATTTAAGTTTAAATTTATGAACATACATTTACTAAAATAATATTGAAAATATATCATTCAGAATTAAAAACCAAAAAAATGTGAATTAAAAAACTATATCAATACATTTTAAGCGGAGTCAATATTGTCATATTCCAGTAACCAATCTTTCGTAAATACACAAAAATACCATTAGCTGCCTTCGATTGTGTCGAACCTGCGATTCTATTGGAAAAATTGGCATCAATTGGAATCTCAGGACTTGCGCTGAAGTGCTCATCGGTTGATCATCCTATATGAGCAACCGATTCCAAGTCACTGAAAAAACACAAATTCAAAAACTGAAAGAATTTCATCAACAAAAAAAACTGATCTCCAATGGCGTCCCCCAGGGATCTGTTCTTGGACCTCTCCTTTTCTTGGTCTATATTTTATTTTATTTTATTTTGCATGCTACAAAACAGAATACAAATCCCATTAACATTGCAGCACTATTCTAATTTGTACAAAAAATTGAGAACATGCTATGAGTTCATAAAATTGAATAAAGTGAATCGTTCATAGACTAAGAATAATAAATATTAATTATTAAATTACAACAACAATAAATAATAGTAGCAATAAGTAACAATAAATAAGAGTGACTAAGAATTACGCAAATAAATAAGATAAATAAATAAGATAAGAAACAAAACATGAGACACAAGATAACTGATGAAGGTGAGAGAAATTAATAACATTAACCATTATGTGAGATTAAAGATTTTTTATAAGAGGCTAGGCTCGAGTTAAAAATATCAACGTTGTTTGATATTAAATTATATAGTCTCATCATTGTGTTGATAGGTGATTGAGCCCCTAGGCAAGTCCGTGAGAAGGACGGACTGAACAACGCGCGGGCTCTGGACGAGGGTCGGCGAACAAGGAACGTTAAACGAGATAAGAGCTCGCTGTCATCAACCTTATCATTGAGTAGTTTGTGTAGAAAGATAAGCATCCCCATATCACGACGTTGCTTTAGACTGACCATTTCAAACAAGTTTAAAAGAGTATGGTAAGATACATCAAATGTGAAGTATCCAAACTTCTTGAAGAATAAATATCTAAGGAATTTGATTTGTATTTGCTCAATCATGTCGACAAGATAGGTTTGATGAGGATACCACACAGTTGCTCCAAACTCAAGTTTAGGCCGTACCAGGGTGCAATATAAAAGTTTGAGACTGTAAATGTTGGTTATAAAACTTCCTGATCTGAATATGAAGCCAAGAATTCGATACGCTGATCTACAAGACTCAATTACATGATTAGAAAAACACAACTTGCTATCAATTGTAACACCAAGATCTGTGACACTACTTCGACTACCCAGTAAATTGCCATCAAATAAAACAAACAACATCTTTATCTATCAAAAAACAAAATCTTATCAAAAAACATCTTATCTAAATATCAACAACATAACAGATACTGTTCCGCAGGACAGCGTCTACCTCTTTGCGGATGATACAACGTGTTGTTCGTAAGGGGGACTGACGTCGCGGCCCTGGAGGCAGAATCTAATCAAAGAGCAAATGATCTGGCTGACTTTTTTTCCTCAAACAAACTCAAATTAAATTCACAAAAAACAGGATACATCCAAACTGCAAAAAGACAAAATTTAAAAAAATAATAGGACTCCGAACCTATTAATTGCAGAGGATCAAATTCAAATTTCAAAAACTGCCGACTTTTTGGGAGTGAGATTGGACGATAAATTGAGCTGGGATGCACAAATAAAAAAACTGGAGGGGTCAATGGCTCGAGGGGTCTTTGTACTTCGAAGAATAAGGACCTTCGGAAACCTGGCTCTCTCTAAACTTGTGTATTTTGGCCTAATAGAACAACACATTTCGTATTCAATCATCCTATGGGGAGCTGTGGAGAAGAATATTGATCAGATCTTTGTTTGGCAGAACATGGCAGTAAGAGCAATCTTGGGCATGCCACCTCGTGAACAGTCCCTTCACTTTATATCTATGAATCAGATTGCTATATAAAATCACAGAACATTAAACCAACTTTTACAAATAACACTTACAACACACGAACAAAGGGCACACACGCAGTCCAACAAAACTCACAAAATTTGAACACAGACCAGATTACATGGGAATGAAATTGTACCAGGCCCTACTGAAAAAATTACTTGAAATTCAGAGCTTAACAAAATTCAAATCAGAATTTAAAAAATATCTAGTGGAGTTAAGTTTACAGGACATAGACAGTTACCTTAACGGTGACAAAAATTAGTTTTAAGTTGGTTATTCTTTGTATTAACAGAAGGACCTGTCCAATTCCTTAAGGCAAAGGACTGCGGACGGAGAGATCATGTATCATGTACGTATGAAATATTTCAGTTTACTATAATCAATGGTTCTACTTCATGATGTGTATTATATAGCTCAGTAGTAATGGCATTGCTGAATTAATTGTATCAGCAGACAGCTGGTTTTTTTCTCTTACAGCTGACATTTGTTATTGTTTCTTGTTTCTTCTTGTTTAGTTTAGTCATTAGTGGACAAATGACCAGCAATACCCATCAATACCATGACTTAATACTATTTGTTAAAGTTAAGTTAAATGATGTAAAATATTAATCACCATCATTTTGATTTCATATTTTATTTATTGCTAATGGATTTACAACAATTTTACAGTATAATTACTTGTGTATTGTGAGAAGCCATTACGACTAGCCTTCATTTTTAAAATTGGAATGGATCGGATCTTGCTAGTTGCTAGATGGAATTTGGGAAAGAAGGTTACTAGCGGACTGCTACCGGAATAAAAATAAGGTTAGCCTAGTTCATACTTTATTTAGGCTACGTGAAATGTTTATGCGAGATTTACAATACAATCTAATTAACTATTTAAAGAAAAGAACTGGAGACTATGAAGAGTAAGTTAATGGTCAGCTGAGTTATTTCAAAACCTTCATATTAGCCTAGGCCTATCTTCATAAGTAGCCTATTTAAGGATCGATCCTGTTGATTGTTTATTCTATTATAGTTTATTTTGGTGTATATTTTCATCCACTCATCAAAATCTATAGCAAGTAGGCTTCAAATAGATTCTTGATTCTTCTTGAAATATATTAGCATCTTTAATAGGCTAGGCTTAACTTACTGCCATTACGGTTGCTATGTTTAGCAAACCACTAGGCCAGCATTACACCCATTAAACCTAACCTTATTGATAAGCCTAAACTTTATAGGCTAATGATTTTGAAGATAAGTTATCCCAAGCCTGATTCATAATTATTGTGATTGAGAAGCTCATTATTTCTTTGTGAATTATAAAATGTTAATCGAGATTCATTTTCATTAACATAGACACATTAGGCCTATCCTAAGGATTAAAACACTATTAGCCACGATTACTAGAAAAAACCCGGTATGGATCATAAACATCAACAAATGACGTTTTTGGCCCGAAAATAAACATTATTTATCATTGGTTAAATGGAACTGCTAAAACATATGTTCAATGCTATTACTATAGGATTCGGGCCAACAACGTCATTTTGTTTATGTTTATGATCCATACCGGGTATTTTTCTAGTAATCGTGCTATTAGCCTAACTTACTCTTGAAAACCACCAATTGCGTTACTAATCCTACCTGAACAACATTAGGCCTTGCCTTTGAACGTGTAACAAGCAATTATAAGGATCTAAACTTAAGCTTTACCAAACTATAGGCCTACAAAAATTTAGCTTGGCAAGTTAGGCCTGCTAGCAAAGCAAGTTAGCCTAAACGTTTATCAAAATAACTTATGTTAGCTTGTAACTTTGCCGTGTAACATTGTGTTTCTGGTCCATCAGGCATAGGCTAATTGAATGCTACTGTGTTTAATTTTTTGCAACCATTATGTCGCTTAAATCTGGAACTAGGTCAAGGCTTTGTTTATTTTAGTTGCTCATTCTTTTATCTCTTATTTTCAGACCAATGGCTAACTTACATGTGAGGTGCTGTGTCCTCATGGGCTAATTTTGAGTGGCCTAACACCGAAGCTCTTAATAACTTAACTCCATCAAAGTAGCAAGATTGGTAGCCTAATGGTAGGTACTCATCTTATTCATTGTCTTAAAACATAAGATCATCTTACTAAAGGCGGTTTCACACTGGCGTCCACGGACGATTTCTTCGTCCGTGGACGGATACTAAAATAAATCGCTGCCCATGTTATCAGATGTTATTATGTTAACATGGTGGCCCATGTTATGTTCACACCACGCATTGAAACATAACCACCATCCGCGGATGCAGAAATTCGTCCGTGGACGAATGGTGGAATCGCTCCGGGAGCGATTTTTCTAAAACGTCCGCGGACGCCCAAGCTCGTGCATGCGCACTGAGCACCAAAGCACTTGTAGCGCAGCGCGAGCGCGGCATCTGTCACTCCCCTCAGTCTGGGTTACAACTCTAGAAATTTATAGGGATCACAAGAGAAAGATAAAGCGTGGTTCGAAATTGCGACTACACTCCAAAGAGATAGTAAGTAGGCCCTATCCTAACCAATAAACATGTATACAAGTGTCTTGTAGGGACATAAATTTCTAGAAAGCTCAAATATAAAACAAATTAATGTAATATTTAAACAGACTCAGAATAAAATTATCTATATGTTAGGACAGATATCCCAGTACAACATATCTTTTGTGTAAAAAACAGTTTGTTTTTTTTGTCTTTGTCTGCTTTTGTTTATGTTATTTTCAATAAATAATTTGAATGACTCCAGCGGTTTAACTCTGCTATGTGGCTAAAGGCAGCAAACATGTTTGTGAATAAATATTGGTTTACTATTGTAGCTTTGGTCTTTTGGTTACTGACGATAAAAGGCTTCTCTGATAATATTGGAAAATATCTTCGTAAAATATGAAAAGGCAAATCATGATTAAGTTAGGCATCAACATGAGTACGTTTATCGTACTGTATACAGCTGCCTATTATAAAAATGATTATTTATGCACCATTTATATAGCCTATATTATTTTCATAATTATTTCTTGTTGAATAGCCAACATGCATGACCAAAATGGATTTTAGCCTATACAAGGTGTCTGTAAAGTCCTTCGCCAAACTTCATTTTAACATGGTTTATTGGGTCAAAATAAGCAAAAAACTATCCTGTGGACAAAGGTCCTATCTCGTTTCATTTACCGGCTGTCGGTACTTTTGTGTACATAAGTTCTAATAACTTTAAAACCAGTTGAAGTACCAACTTCAAACTCAGTAGTAAGTAAGGACTAACAGGTAGTTTTTTGTGGAGTGTCAAGTTTCCGTCTCTTACTATTTAAAATGGTGGCGATTTTTGCACTTTTATACCACATTTTTATTTAGTTTTTTTTTTACTAACACTTTTTTACTTACAAGACTTTGAGTTAAGGAATAAATATCATTGGGACAGTAAACAATGTGTATACAAATTTCAACTAACATTTATAAATGTATTTGTTGACAAACATGAGTGGACGTTTGAAATGGAGCTCGCAATGTGAAGGAGGTGCATAGCATCCGTCATTCATTTCATCATCATTTTATCCGTCCGCGGACGATAATTATCATCCAGTGTGAAAACGCCTTAATTATTGCTCTATCTTCTACCAGATTGTGATTTAATTTGTGGGTATGAAAGAAAAACGTGTAGTTTGAAAGAGACATAAACAATCGCAATGAGTATATCTAGTTTCAAAGCAGTTTGTCTGTTGCTCAAGTAAGAACCATGGGTCAGTAGGAACTATGGACTTATTTTGGCTGGGAAATTATGTCGTCACGGTTGAGCTCAAGCAACCATAAGTTCCTCGCTTTTCTGTCTTGCAAGCAGTGGGATGATGTAAGGCAAGTTTAAGCGGACCTAAGTTAGATGTAGGATAGGCTAACCTAACCTCATTTGCATTTGATATATTCTTAACCTGTACCCAACTGGCTATATTAAAACTTTGCATAAAAGTACCTAATGGAGGTAGGATTTAATTTTATTTCTTTATTATTGAATACGGTACGTAAAAACATTGAACCATTTCTTGATTGATTTCAAGATTGAATTTTTGACTGCACTAATTGCCGCATTAGTGCAATGAGTTTTGTAATTGGAGCCGAACGCTTAAGTAAAAACTGTCTCTAAAATTCAAATTGTAGGGTTGGGAATTAGAAATTTCTATACCTACATAGATTTGCCATAGAGAACAAGGGCCTACGTTTTTTAGATGTTTTTGTGATGATAGCAAGCTTACCTGAATTGGAATCTAGTCCAATCTGGCACATTAAATACAAAAAAATGTCACTGACAGCTTTTTTGATTTTTTGAAAGAGCCGACTCTCTCTTTAATTCTTGCCTTTATTAACAATGCTATCAGACAGTGAAATATTATATTATTAGTCCACATAGCGTTATTTTTTTTGCCAGATTGGACTTTCTCCCATTCAAGAAAGCCTGCTATCCTCACAAAATATTGACAAGCTCGATAACAGAGCAAGTTATGAATTATGATCCCAAATAGTTGAGCTATAGATAACCCTGAGGCACCTCATTATAGACTATCAAGACTAACAAGATTCTTACATGCAGAAGCAATGATAATTGAGTATGATCTTAAAAACTGTCCAATTTGACTTTAAAATTTTCATTATACTTTGAAATAAGCTTTTAAGTCATAGGCCTATATATTATTTGGAATATTGTGTTTAAAGTATTCTAAGACCAAAGATATAACCTGTTTTATTCATAGGGTGTTGTCCGAGCCCACGCAGCACTAGGTGGTGGTCTCGCACTGTTTGGAACTGGTTGTCTCCATACGCCTTCTGTTTCTGTTCTGTGGCCTTCTGTTGTAGAAGATGTGATCACTTGTTTCCTAGACCCAACTCCTGTTGATACTCAACAGTTGATGGACGATAGTTGCTACAGGTAAGTTAACTCTTTAAACTCCTCGTATTTTATGAGATTACTTACTAACAGACAGTATACTAGTGAATTGAGTTGCTATAAAGATTAGCTTAGGCCTTGTCTAGCCCATAAATCAATTTTATTGTAAATTATTCCCGATTGTACTAGTAGCTTTTCGCTTTGCCTTAATACTTGAGTAGGTACAGGGTAGTATTTATGCCATGCATCCCAAGAAGAAACTTAAAGAAATTAATTAAACCATTATGATAGAGCAGGGCAGGGCAGGGTAGGGTACAGCTAGGGCCAGTATAGCAGGCTAGGGTACAGCTGGGGGCGAGCATGGCAGCGTAAGGTACAGCTGGGGGCGAGCAGGGCAGGGTAGAGTACACACAGGGCCAGGAGGGCAGTGTAGGGTACAGCTGGGGATGAGTAGGGCAGCGTAGGGTACAGTTGGGGGCGAGCAAGGAAGCGTAAGGTACAGCTGGGGGCGAGCAGGGCAGGGCATGGTATGGTACAGCTAGGGCCAGTATAGCAGGCTAGGATACAGCTGGGGGTGAGCAGAGTAGCGTAGGGTACAGCTGGGGGCGAGCAGGGCAGCCTAGGGTACAGCTGGGCCCAGTAGAGCAGGGTAGGGTACAGCTAGGGGCAAACAGGACAGCGTAGGGTACAGCTGGGGCCAGTAGAGCTGGGTAGGGTACAGCTAGGGCCAGTAGAGCAGGGTAGGGTATAGCTAGGGACGAGCAGAGCAGGGTAGGGTACAGCTGTGGAGGGCAGGGTAGGGTAGGGTACAGCTAGGGCCAGTAGGGCAGTGTAGGGCACTGCAGGGGGCTAGCAGGGCAGGGTAGGGTACAGACAGGGCCAGCAGGGCAGTGTAGGGTACAGCTAAAGCCAGTATAGCAGGTTAGGGTACAGCTGGGGGCGAGCAGGGCAGCGTAGGGTACAGCGAGGGCTGGTATGGCAGGGTAGGTTGCAGCTGGGGGTTAGCAGGACAGCTTAAGCCGCGTTTACACCGGAGTTTCAAACAAAAAGTTGCAAACTTTTATTGCAAACAGCAGTTGCAAACAGTAGTTTCAAATAAATGTTTGCAATTTTTATTTTATGATTTGTTTCCATGTTTCATGAAATGGTTTGAAATAATTTCGACCTTGATTATGACTCTCCTCGTTCTGGTTCCTCGGATCAGTCCTTCCGAGGATGTCAAGTGTCAAGTTTCGACGATGTCATTTTAGCCGCGGCGGCATGTGTCGTGTTGTCAAAGCAACGTAGGCCGAGACGATGCTGGGTGAACATCGGTGATTGTATAAATCATCAAATTAAAATTATTATTATTTTTTAAAGATTGCAAGGAGTTAATTAACCCTTTTAATTCACATGAGACGTTATTTTTATTTTTAAATTAGACGACCTTGTCATTTGAGATTAGTGTTAATTCATTGACAGTCAAACAGCAGTTTCCCGATTAATTTAACACTGAATCGAGACACAGGGTCGCAGTAATCACGTGAGAGAGAGTGGAGGTGGTAGCGTAGGGGATGGCGGAGAAATGTTTCTGTTTCGTGTTTCAACGGCTCATAGTGACCGAAACTAGTGTTGCAAACAGAGAGTTTGCAACTCCCTTTGATCTTTACCGACTTCAAGTGGAAACAAAAATTTCTGTTGCAAACACTGAAAAACTGTTTGCAACAGCGAAATGTTTCGTCTAAAAATGTGCGTTTTTAGAGATGTTTGCAATTTCTGTTTGCAACTCGTGTTTCAAACTCCGGTGTAAACGCGGCTTTAGGGTACAGCTATGGCTAGGAGGGTAGGGCAGGGTTATCTGCGGCGAGCAGGGCTGGGCAGACACAGAATGCGCTAGTGACTAAATTTCTATTTCCTACATTATTTTTGTTGCTGGCCAAGTTGATGGGTCATAACAGTTGCTATAGCTCACAATAAGTCCTTCCATTAGTTTAAATTAGTAAAAAAGATTGTGTATTTGACAGAAATCAGCAATTTAAATCAGCACAATCTGTCGGTGGCTCACATCAACTATGGTAATTTTGGTAAAAGAACTGGCTACAAATTTTAACATGGGGATGGAATGTCTCTAGTTGTTAGTCAAAGGTACAGCTTATTAGGTTAGTTACATGAATAATGGGTTAGATTTTACTGTTTTGGGACACTTTGAAATTTTTGAATTTATTTTATGTAATTTGGTTTTTTGCCAGTCTTTATGTGGATGTATCAGTAATTTTCCATAGACGAGTATTTTTTTACCTCTGCACCCTAAACGTTAGCAGGCAGCGAATCCCGCCAAAATTCAGCAGTCAGCTGTGACATAGCCTAACTTTCAAGCCAAGTCTGGTCAAACATACTACCTTACGGAATGGGCATACGGGAGGGACTCTGGCTAAAGGTGTGGTGACGTCATATCTCTAGTGGCTAATGTCTTCTCTTGAGGCAACACGATTACCCTAACGAGACGATGTGATTCCAGCGGCGTTCGTGGCATAGTTGATAGCGTTTCGGTCTGGTGTTCAGGAGGTCTCCAGTTCAAAACTAGCCGGGGACATTTACTTTTTGTCAAAGATTTTGCTTTGAATGTGACTACTTCTTAAACTAGAATTCCTAGAAATACTAGAAATACTAGAAGAACTAGAAAACTAAAAATTCTTTGTTGGAATTTGATGCATTTATAATTTTATTTATGAACAGAACTTTTTTTTAAAGTAAACCTTTTTTTGATTTTTATCTTATATCTTTTTTATATCGTCAGCAAGTTTGGTTGGTTAGGTTAGGTTATGACAGTTTAATTTTATAATACTAAATTTTAAAATTTATTTTATAATTAAAGTTTATAAGTAAAACATTTATTTGATTTTTTTCTTATATATTTTTTATATTATCAGCAAGTTTGGTTGTAGAATTAGGTCCTGTATAGCCCATCACACTTTTTTGTGACACCCTGTATATTATTTGGAATATTGTGTTTAAAGTATTCTAAGACCAAAGATATAACCTGTTTTATTCACAGGGTGTTGTCCGAGCCCACGCAGCACTAGGTGGTGGTCTTGCACTGTTTGGAACTGGTTGTCTCCATACGTGGCCTTCTGTTGTAGAAGATGTGATCACTTGTTTCCTAGACCCAACTCCTGTTGATACTCAACAGTTGATGGACGATAGTTGCTTCAGGTAAGTTAACTCTTTAAACTCCTCGTATTTTATGAGATTACTTACTAACAGACAGTAGGCTATACTAGTGAATTGAGTTGCTATAAAGATTAGCTTAGGCCTTGTCTAGCCCATAAATCAATTTTATTGTAAATTATTCCCGATTGTACTAGTAGCTTTTCGCTTTGCCTTATTACTTGAGTAGGTACAGGGTAGTATTTATGCCATGCATCCCAAGAAGAAACGTAAAGAAATTAATTAAACCATTATGATAGAGCAGGGCAGGGTAGGGTAGGGTACAGCTAGGGCCAGTATAGCAGGCTAGGGTACAGCTGGGGGCGAGCAGAGTAGCGTAGGGTCCAGCTGGGGGCGAGCAGGGCAGCGTAGGGTACAGCGAGGGCTGGTATGGCAGGGTAGGTTGCAGCTGGGGGTTAGCAGGACAGCTTAGGGTACAGCTAGGGCTCGGAGGGTAGGGCAGGGTTATCTGCGGCGAGCAGGGCTGGGCAGACACAGAATGCGCTAGTGACTAAATTTCTATTTCCTACATTATTTTTGTTGCTGGCCAAGTTGATGGGTCATAACAGTTGCTATAGCTCACAATAAGTCCTTCCATTAGTTTAAATTAGTAAAAAAGATTGTGTATTTGACAGAAATCAGCAATTTAGATCAGCACAATCTGTCGGTGGCTCACATCAACTATGGCAATTTTGGTAAAAAAACTGGCTACAAATTTTAACATGGGGATGGAATGTCTCTAGTTGTATTAATAGTCAAAGGTACAGCTT